GGACTTTCCGATAGACTTTGTCGAAAGCAGCTTTAAAATCAATATATACTGCAAATGTATATTGTTTCCGTTGAAATCCATCTTTTACATCCTCACCAAAACGAGCCACCTGCTCAGTTGTTCATCGGTGCCTTCGGAAACCTGCTTACTTTGATGACATCTTATTTTCCCTATCTAGACATATCTGCAACCAGGCTAAGACCATTCTCTCAAAGACCTTAAAAAAAAACACTTGTGAACGAGATAGGTCGATAGTTAGATTGGGAAGAGGAACATTTACCTTTCTTGAGAATTGGGATCACCTCCTCCTTCCTCCAGGCACAAGGATATCGTGACCTTCACACAACATCCAGGAAAAATCCAGCACTATGAGCTTAGCTTTTGCAACCAGGTATATAAGGAACTCTGGCAATGTCATCAGGACCACCGCTATTTCCCTTCTTTGCTTGTGCCAGAGCAAGTTCAAACTCTTATTAGCTGAAGTCGTCTTCAAAGAATTCTTTCAGAAAGATTCAAACATAAGATTGTTGGCACGGTATTAATTCTCTTATTTTCTTCTGCTGGTTTATAGTTAGAGGCCCTGTCAAAGAATTTACAAAAGTTCCTTGTTATGGGAAGTCCAGAAAATATTTCCTTGTCATTAAACTTAAGAGGGTTGTTCCTTGGATCTTTTCCACCATTTTGCTTTGAGATGAATTTATGTGGTTTTATCCCATCTCTTCGAAAGTCCAGACTAGACAAATATTCTCTGAATTCCTTCAGCCCGCAATATTCTCTGAAGCCTTTCGTTTGGCTTGAATTATATTCAACTTTAGGGTCGTTGTAAGTTTTCTTAGCCTAAGAATGCCTTACGTTTTTTTTTACCTATCTGTATCCCTACTGTCTTTTATTTTTTCTAGATTATCACTCCAATGGAATGTATCTCTTCATAAATCCCCGAGGAATAGACCGCTTTGCACACTCGAGAATTTGAAAGTTCCGAAAGTGTAATGGGCTTCATAGCCGCTATAGTATATGGTATGCCGAGTCATTTCTTGTATTCCTTTCCCCAGCCAGCAGATTTCCTGAATTCCTGCTATGTCCACCTTGCTTGAGTCCAGTTATGTAAGGAGATTCCGTAGTGCCCTTAGTCGGTGAAATGTTAAAATGTTCCAATAACCTATACTTAGATCCTTAAGGCGTTTTCTGGGTCGTATCCATTGGGAATTCCTGCTTCTTCCATCTGAGGATTTGTAACAGTGGTTGTTTAAGAAGTAACCGATTATAAGAACAGATATAATAAAAACTGTTATAAGCCCTACAAGAACATAAACACGTAAAAATGGAGGTGTGCACGTCGGAATAATCATAAAATCCTCGAGCATTGAAAGTCACCAAGATTGCGATAAGAGGTGCAGATAAAATCGCTCAACAAATGAAGATAAAAAGCCGAAAACTCCACACTAATAAGAGGATCTGCTTAGAAGGGAAATTGTTCCCGAAAGTAGACCAATTCCAATACCTCAGTTCCACAATATCCTGAATGAATGACCAAATGGTCGAAAATAGATCAACATATAACCAACGTAACAGAGCCTTCTCCCCTCTTTCGAAAGTCATGAAATCTCGAAAAATCTCAAATTAAAAGTGTGTAATGCTATGATAAACCGGTAAAGTGGGCCAAGTAAATTTTTGTTATGAAAAAAAAAGTTACGGTCCCCGGGGTCCGATATTCGTCTCGACTGCCAAGCGGTCCTGTTTTTTTCGAATTTCGCGTATCTTAGGAAGTCTCTAAAATTGTCATTTTTAAAAATATTTGAATAAGAGTTGGATTATTGTAAATATACAAACATAAATAATCATCATATCTGATATAAAGCTGTATGATTCAGGGGAGCGATACCATACCAGACTGATAAAAAATGATTTCTCTGCGGTATCAACCCAGATAATATATCAGATATCAATCGACAGATATATATTCATGCCGTGACAGGACAGTGCACATGCATGGTGATTGAGATAATGTTTGGAACGTCGTTGGTCAATTCTTGAATCATCTTTAACATGAAAAACGAAAAACCCATATTAAATACATAGTTCCGATCGGTTCTCCACCAACTCAGCGCCAAACACCGTCACCACGTCTGATACATCGTGTCCAATCAAGCCTTAACGTGAGAGAAGAAAACAGCGAAAGCAGTGCAGAGAACTGAGAAAGTCCCTATGAAGTAAGAAAACAGGGAAAGTCGCTAGTTTCGTGAAGACTGTGATGATATGGCCGGATTCTGTTTGCCGCACTTCAATCAGTACAAGTAGTTGGTAACTTAATAGTAAAAGCGAAGTCGCTTTCATTTTTCCTTTATTAAAATAAATTCTAATGTAATAGAGGATACTCAATTACCTATATTTTTCTTTTATTGCCACAATATGTACTAATATATATAACTTCGATTTTTTATTTTGACATTGAAACAGTAAGACACCAATAATGTACAAATTATATCGTGAAAATTATAATTATATGTATTAAATAAACTTTTTCTCATTTCATTTTCGATATTTAAGATTTCTATCCCTAAAAATAACACTTTTTTTATTGAAACAAAAAAGACAAATAATAAAAAACGCGTCACATTAACGGCATCGTACATTGGAGTCGATTTCTGACCATTAATGAGGACACAATCAACAGATAGACACACTGAATAGGTTATTTAGTTCACCTTTGTTGTCAAAAGACAGCGGTATACCTCGAAACTCCATGTCTCCAACGTCCAGTGCCGTTAGGAACTTAATAACTACTGCTGGTCGCCGGGTACCGATATCGTCGGGAAAGACATTTAAGAGATATCGTGCTCAGTAGCTGAAGTATTAAGACCCTTTAAAACTTTTAAATACCAATTGTTATATAAATTTAAGAAGTAAAACTTTTAGTAAATGATTTTCTTGGATGAGTTTTTCCCGGCCGTCAACTAAAGCATTCATAACTCCTCAGGATTTTCTTTAAATTCAACTTTATTATAACCGTTGAAAAGCTGAATTATTGCTCTTTCAACTGACATCAATAACTAGATTTCATTTTTTTTTTCAAGCTAAAAATTAAGAAAAACTTCCAACCCATTTTTATTTCATATCTTAAATATTAATTTGATTAGGTTTATATCATTTCGTATAGCAGAGGCCTAAATCCCTACCAATTTCCTTGTGGATCAGTGTAGCCGTTCTATACTTATCACAAGTTTTGTGGTCGTTGACCAAATTTTAAGGGTCTAGCCTTGGCAAAAATTTCTTGCAGAAAGATTTAATTTTCCGATTACAAAAAAAATCGTATTTGAGGCGCGAAAAACGACTTTGGTTTCTCATTAATTATTATTTTCTTCACGAAATTTTGGCCTAGGACCTGGACCTTTCAAAATTTCGTCATCAACCACAATCATTGTGTTTACTATAGAACAGCTATATGGATCTACACAAAATTTGGGAGGAATTAAGGCTCTGTGTGCTACATGAAACGGTATGAACCAGACATTCTTAACCAAATTAAAACTTAAGATATAAAATAAAAATGATTTAGAACTTTTCAGCTTGAGAAAAAAAAAAAGAAAAAAAGAAATCCAAACGTTATTGGAGTCAGTTGGAAGAGTAGCAATTCAACTTTCCAAGGGATATATTAAAGTTGAATTTAAAGAAAATTCTGAGGAGTTATGAATGCTTTAGTTGACAGCTGGGAAACAACTCATCCAAGAAAATCAAGTACTAAAGATTGTATTCTTTTATTTATATAACAATTTGTACTTAAGAGTTTTAAAGGGCCTTAAAAGAAATCTTGCTTTTTCATAACAAAAATTTACTTGGCCTACTTTACTGGAAGCATATTTTGGTTTTAGTAATTTTTGATTCATTATAACTCATTTAATACAGTAGTTAATATATTTTTCTTATTCTGCACAAGAAAACAAAACCATTGATATACAGTAACCAAAAATCCGGGCAAAGCTAAGGCAAAAATAAATAACATAAATTTTGAATGAAATCATATAAAAATTTTTTTTTCCGCTCCTAAGGCTCATGTGTACACCAGGATGCGTTTCTAATATATTTCGATGTAGTATTACAAAAAAAAAAAATTGGTGATCCACTGACTATCCTCTCCTTGTAAGTGTAATTTCTTAGGAAATTTTCCATTAGATACCGGCATATTTATAGGTGTAACATGTTTCGTCATTATCTAATTTCTGACTTTATAAAGTCACTGAAATTATCGAAGGTTAGAAATCAGTATTAGAATGCCTTATTTTAAATTCCTTACGTATTAGGAGTTGAAATCAGCGCAATACATGAAACAATAATAAAGCTGCCAGAGTCCAAAATATCAAGATGCTTGAAGGCAGCTATGCTTTCAATTCCAGTTGTCTGAAACAGTTTTAGGCTGTAACATACAATTTAGTAGGAAAAGAGAGGAAAGTACTATAGACATTATAAACATATCCTAGAAAATTTGACTTCAAGGATGAAGGAATGAATTCAAGTTGTAGGCGGGTGAGAGAATATTTAGTGAAATCCCTTAAGTGAATATAAGTTCATGGACTGGGAGTTATATACAACAAAACCTTCATTAACAAAATTTGTATTAACAATTTAACTTTAGTACACCTAGATAGATAACCATAGCAATAATTTGTACAAAAACTATTAAAGATAACAAATGTTACAAAAGAGAATGATCTAAATATTATTATTTACTTGAAAAGCAATAGTATTAATCATAATATAAAACAAACATTATCCAGAATCACTAATAATACCAACTATATAACTAATAAATTGTATGTTGAAAATAAACAGGAAAATAACTTCTATATCATGTAATCATGTAAATTTAGAGGCAATAAGTTATTTGCTAATTAAAATAAAACACACACATAGCTCAAAACATAATAATAAAATTAAAATAATAGCAATAAGAAATTAAAATAAGTGCTTATGATAATATCCTTTTAAGAAAAAGAAGTAGGAAAAAAATAATAGTTATTTTAAAAATCAATTACTATAGTCATATGTATTGAAACCTGTTATTTAACTTTAATTAAAATAATAGCAATAAGAAATTACAATATGTGCTTATGATAATATCCTTTTAAGAAAAAGAAGTAGGAAAAAAAATAATAGTTATTTTAAAAATAAATTACTATAGTCATGTGTATTGAAATCTGTTATTTAACTTTAAAACTTGCTATTTCTATAGAACAATGAATACACATTCACATGAGAACTTATCTATATATATGTAGGTGAGGTGTATATCTTAATATAAACATTTTTTCTTTAAGAATATATTCAAAATACATTAAGGTGTTTTTAAAAATTAAATTACACCACTTTTCACTATTTTCATTGTCACATTAATGAAGTGGGTAAATTATACACAAATTATAATCCATATAAACAATATGCCCTCTGACATGAAATGTCACAATCAAGACATCCTACAGTCAAACAATACATCACTAAAAACAATATAATTATGAATTAGATGGATAGTTAGTTGACGCAGTGTTAACATTAGAATTGCATGCCATAGGTGGAGATGTTGGTGGAGGCGGTACATGAAATTTTGGCTGAATTATAGATGTTTTTCGTACTGGTACACTTTCTGGGGTTGGAATTGCTTCTCCAGTTGGGAAATTAAAGAAAGGTGTAGAAGCCTGAGATTGCCTTCCTTTAGTGACTCCAGTTGTTTGTCTTGCCATTTGATAATCACCAGAATCAAAATATTTTTGCTAAACACAAGAAATATAGAATTGAACTATTAATTTATGAATTTATAAAACATCTTTAATTCTATATTAGATTCTGTGTTATCAGTGTTACTACTGAAACTAATCAGAAATCATTTGAGGTATCACACACTCTAGTGTGTTTATGTAATTTTTCTATATTCTTACATCCCTTAGGTCATTCTTTATTTTAAAACACTATAGAAAGGTTTAGCTTCCTTTTTTATTACTTAAGGTTTGATGATAAACTGGGAAGATGAGAGATAAGCTAATAATAAAGTGGCACCTATCAAAGATATTTGGTAAATATTAAAAAAGTTAATACTATACCCCTTTTAACAAAGTACTTGTAATGAACAATTCAAGGACTTTAGAGGGATATCGATTTATAATGTCTTGTTTCTGAGCCTAAAGAAACAGAATTAATGTTTATTTTATAAACTGTCCAAACCTTCAATAGATACTGAAAAGTGTACCATAGGTTGGAAGGGTTGACTATCCAAAAGGAAGATCTTAAATGAATTAATTCCTCGGCGTAATACGCTTGATAAGATTTTCTTTTTGGATAGTCAACCCTTCCAACCTATGGTACACCTTTCAGTATCTATTGAAGGTTTGGACAGTTTATAACATAAACATTAATTCTGTTTCTTTAGGCTCAGAAACAGAATTAATGTTTATGTTATAAACTGTCCAAACCTTCAATAGATACTGAAAGATGTACCATAGGTTGGAAGGGTTGACTATACAAAAGGAAAATCTTATCAAGCGTATTACACAGAGGAATTAATTCAAAGTATTCATGTAACCAAGAGAGATGTGATTATCTATAAATGATTCTCCATAGTATTGATATTTGGTATAATATTGTCAGAGTATAACTTAACAATATTAGAGAGCAGGTTCTTCCCTCTTTGCCTTTTACAAAAAAAAAAAAAAAAAAGGTTTGCTTTTATATTTAACCCAATAAAATTTTATTATTGCTATCAAATCAATAATGTATTATATTTTATTGTACTTTAAGGTGGAGACATTTAGACAATCAGTATGTTTAGAAATAGAATATATTTTGGGAATTAAGATAAAATACATATAAGGAAAAGTCAATGAATCATACTTCATTATCTGGCCAACCTGAAATAGATATTATTTATTGTAAACAAATCATTTCTGTCTTTCTGTAAATTCCTCTTTCACATCATAAACTCTTAATGTGTTTCTCAAAGAGTATATATATATTCTTTGAGAAACACATTAAGTACAAACTGGCTAAATGTCTCCAGATAGTTAAAGTAAAATTCCCTGACTTTTCCCTATTTAATGAGTTTTCCATGACCAATATGTCTCGAGGCCACAAATATTAAAAATGTATAATTTATAACTAAATTTATTAATTATATATGAACAGGATGCCTACCAAACAGACAAAGTAAAATTCCCAGGCGTTTATCTATTTAATGATAGTTTTCCCTGACCAATATGTCTGGGGACTCAAATATTAAAAAAGTATAACTAAATTTATTTATCATTAAAAAAAAAATCAATCTTTTAAATAACAAATATGTTTTAGGGGAAGAATTGTTCAGGCTGGATTAGGATTTTTTACTTTAGAAAACTAAAGTTTTAGTAATTTATTTTTATTGCCTTCATTTTATTTTAAAAAACTCAGAGGAGATAAAAGTTGATACTTTTGTATCATGCTATGATTGTTTCTATTATACAATAAAGTGAGCTGTGGGGGATTCTAATATTAATGTAGTTTATCATAAGTAATTAAGTTTTTTTATTACTATAAACACCGTAATAATTATCCATATGACACAAACTTAGACATTTCTGGTTAACATTCTCTTTTAAGGAGCACCATGGGTCGAACGAATGAGTGCTTACTAGCCAATGCAAAATAAAAAATAAAATAAACCTAACTCTTTCAACAATTTGAAGAAATTCCAAGTCTATTCGAGACAGCAAGCTGAATGTGGTAAATCTTTTAAATCCAAAAAAACGGTGATTTACCAACGACAAAATCGGTTCTTCTTAATATTCCGTAATCAGGATTAAAGCAGATTTTACTAAAAAAAACTAACGATTTAAAATAATTTACGATCCATTTGATGAACCTCAAAACTATATTTAGTAAGGATGCATACGAAGACTCTTAGTCTGAGAGCCCGTGAGGATGCACAATACTGTGCTGAGAGATACACAATACTTGATTAAAACTTTAAAAGCATTTTTTAAAAATATTTATAACCGAAAAACATTTATATTTAAAAAATGAGAGTCTGCCAATCGAATCTTGTTACCTGTAAAAATGGCGGCTGATTTAAAGAATATTAAACCAGTAAATTAAGGATTGGAAAGGAAAATTCATTACGAAAAATTTGTGAAATGTTTTAATTTTTTTAACTTGTATATATTGATTTATATATGTAAAAAAAAATTGCTGATGCGGGCCACCAATAGAAAACTTTTTACAGCCAAAAAATGCCAGATTTTTTTCGATCTTTTTTTATTTTTTACCCTTTAACTCCTTGACGGTGCATCAAAGTCAAAAATATACTCCTTAAGAAATTAAAGAACATTAAATTGTGCCTCAATCAGTACCTAAACTTACTAATTAGGTTAAGTCAAACTCATCAAAGACTAATACAAAGTAATATAAATGATGCTGCAACTTTGAAATGAGTTCTCTAAGAGAAAAAACTCATAGAATAAAAGTTTTATAGCATCAAATTTCACATCCACTGAGTACCAACAGTTTTAATGTAGGTCACTTACTCCGCTCAAAATCAGCAGTGAATAGCGACGGCTGGAAATCGGTAATGAAGATATCTGTTATTTTAAAGATTTAAACAGTTTGGGTGTCTATTCCTGCACGGGGTCATTGATTGATTGAATTGCGGGATCAAACCCTCTACCCACATATCTTTAATTCATCATACATCACAAATAGTCATGAATCTTCCTAAGGTGAAACGCTCATTATCCGGAGGTAAACTAGTCCCCCCTTCGGGTGTCTGGGTGGGGAATGCTTAGGGGATTCATGGCACATGATGAAAAATAGGGATTTATGTATCGGTATGTGGAACGTTTGTGAACGAGGTTAATGGGTACAATTTGGTTATTGTGGCTCTGCAAGAGGTCACTGGCCAGGGGAGGGCTCGATAAGAAAAGGAAAGCAAACTATTTGGTACAAAGGAAGTGGGAGTCATTGTTTAGGGACCGGGTTTCTAATTAGGAATAGATTGCTATACGCTTTAAGGGACATACAATTCTTCAGTGCTGGAATCCAGTAGCCATATTTCAGGAACATTGGTTTAAAATCGTGTTAATAAACATCCGACAGAAGAGAGCGAGTATAAAGTCACATGCGAATTTTATGATAAACTTGAATGGGTTTATGATAAACTACCACGAATCTCCATGAAAATAAATGTAGGTGAGGCGAACAAAAAGATGGGAAGGGAAGAAGTTTATTTTCTGACGACTGGTTTATTGCACGAATATAGTAATGATAATGGATCCGTCTGATAAACTTTGCCATCTCGAAAAACTTGATAATTAAAAGTACTTACTATGTTTAAACATAAGGATATTCATAAATATACAATTAAACTTCAACAAAAACTTATTGTAAACAAAGACAAAAGAAAAACATTTCGATATTGAGAATTTTCATTTGAAAACTCAATTCGAGCTAGATGTTAAGAATAGGTTTGAAGCTTTATTAGAACCTTCTGACGAGGACGACGATGATATAGACAAGTTATGGGAAGGGATAAAAAACAATATTAAAGCAGCCGTTAACTCGTGTCTTGGAAAAAAGGAAAATAAAAAGAACAAACCTCAGTTCAATGAAAATTGTTTAAACATGTGTGATAAAAGAAAATCTACTAAATTAAAAGCTCTAAATAATCCAAGCAAAGACAATCTCGAAAACTTACGAACCTTAAAGAATGAAACAAATAAATTGCTCAAAAATTAAATAATTGAAATAGAAGCTAATAGAGTCGAAAATAACGTAAGAGATATGTACAAAGGTATAAACAGATCACGTAAATGTTAAGGGCCCGTCACGTCTGGAATTAGGGATGAATGTAACAATATTCCCATGTCTCTCACCACTACACTGAGTTAAGGTGGCTCTTCCCCTCGTTTAGAAGACAATATTTCCTAGGTACGTTCCTCTATCAAATCATCAACAACCATCGTCCTTCTTACGCCTACAACCTTCTCCAATTCAAGTCCTCAGTCCATTCCCTTTCAACAAGATCTCGACCTTCTGAACTTTACATCCCTTCACACAGATCTGCCTCATTTCAGAATTCCTTTATAGCTCACGCTGTCAATTTCTGGAATTCTCTACCTATCAAAATTCGGCATTCCCCCTCCATATCCACATTCAAATCCCTCCTATTCCAATTCCTATCCCAAAAACAGTCAGATACTTGCTAAACTTTCGATATTCTAGTCATCATCAAATGATAGTACTATTCTATACTGTGAACTTCACTAGGGATATTACAATATCTTCCGGCTCTTAATGCCACTGACCACATCTATTTTTTTTTTTTTTTGTTTATTTATTATTATTTTTTATTGGTATTTAATTAAATCGGTACCTCTAGCATTTGACAATGATGAGTCTACATATTAATTATTATTTAAAGACACTGATATTTTATATTGTCAGCTTTGTCTTTTCTTTGTTAGCAGAAACACACCTCATTTTAAAGAAGAATTCAATTTATTTTTTATTATTTCATTTTTCAAAAGAGTATTATTATAATTTTTCCTACTGTACATAGTCTTAAGTGTTTTATCATAGTTTTAAGTTTTTTGTATATAGCATTTCCAAGTCAATTTCAACCTTTTCCAAATCAAATTCAACCTTTTCCAAGTCAAATTAAACCTTTTCCATTTCAAATTCAACCTTTTCCAAGTCAAATTCAACCTTTTCCATTTCAAATTCAACATTCGAATTTTTGTCAATTTTCGAA